GGGGGTTGGGGTGGGGGCAGGAGGACTGATTTGAGAAGGTCAGGAGTGGTAGGGAAGCAGTGGTACTGGGTTGAGGGGAGGCAGGGAGCTTGTTTAGAGGCTGGCATAGGGGTTGGTGGAGCAGGGGTTGGGAAGCCACAGGTTTTTGTCACTCTGTGGGAGCCCTTTATGGACTTTCTTCCAGGAAGGATGATTCCGATGAGATCACCAAATGAGCTGGGACAGTCTCACCTAGGGGGATGGATGGATCACTCGTTACCTTTGTGTTATGAGAAAATGTAAACCTGGCAATAGTCCTCTTCTAAAGACTGTTAATAGTAGAGGATAAAGCTAGATCTGCAGTATAAATACATGTTGTGCTATACAAGTGTATACCAGTGGCGTTCTGTGATATCTTTAAATAGAATTTGTGGTTAAAAATCGCTAGTTTTTAAATAATAGCAGTTTGCATCCTCAGAGCACTACACTTACAAGTGCTAATCTATTTGGGCACAGAATAGGTAGCCCCAGTTAGCACAATTTGTCGTCATCCTTTCTAGAACTATCCCCTGTACATCCGAAGCATCCCAACAGAAAATGAACTGAAGTTCCATTATACAGTGCACACTTCCCTGGATGTTGTGGATGAAAAGATCTCTGCCATGGGGAAGGCCCTTGTGGATCAGAGAGAGCTCTATCTGGGACTTCTGTACCCAACTGAAGACTACAAAGTGTATCTTTAATGCCTGACAGGTGTGCTCTATAGGGCCTGTTCCTACAATCTGTCCTTATTCAGTCAGAACTCCACTGATTTCTCTAAGCAAGGAATGCAGGGTTAGGTTTTAAAAGTATCTGTCTTCCAGTTCTAGAATTTACCGTTGTTTTCATTTGACATTGCAGCTGTAAATCCTGTGTTGTGAAATAACCACTGTGCAGTTTGATTTTTAATGGGCAAGTGTGCTGAGGATTAGTATGCATATATCTCATAGATTTTGGTACTTTCATTTGACCAAAACAACCTGAGAGAGAGTGCTTAAAGGGACACTGTCAGTTAACATTTTGTGAAAACCAGTGTTTTGGAAACTTAAGACCAGTAGAAATGTTTCCTCCATTAAAGAAAAAAAACAACAATGAAAACGGTTGCTTTTTAAAGTGTTTGAAACACAAACACTGCAGCAAGAAAAAACCTAGAAATGAAACCTTTAAATGGACAGCCATCCCTTTTGCTGGCCGTTGTAAAACTAGGTTGTTACAAGGAATGTAAATAGCCAATGAGTGTTGCAAAAGGTGAAGATTAAAAGGGGTCAGAACCTTGGCTGGTGTGAATCAGTAATTCCACTGAAGTCAGTGAAACTATGCTGATATACAGCAGCTGAGCATCTGGTCCTGTATTTTTAAATTTATTTTTTAGAAACCCTTCACTTCAAATATTAATTTGTATACCACAGTATCTGTGATCATTAAGTGGGTATTGGCATCTGACATTCAGCATCCATACAGCTAAGCAATGCAATTATGGGTTTATATATTCTTAGCTTGGCCCCAGTCCTGCAAGCTGCTCTGCACAGGCAACCACTGTGGCTTTTTGAAGGCACTGTGGCAACATGCATTGGTCTATTCACACAGAGCAGTTATTTCAAAACACAGGATTTGCTGCTGCAGTGTCATATAGAAGCCCTAGTCCTAAGGGTTGTTTAGCTATGTTTTTGTCTGAATAGTATCAGTTCTGTTTATTCTTGGCCCTGTCTCTTAGGGCAGGTCTACACTAGAAGCGCTACATCGATGCAGCTGCTGTAGCATGTCTGCTGAAGACGCTGTATGCCAACGGGAGAGCTCTCTCCTGTCGGCACAATTATTCCACCTCCTCAAGAGGCGGAAGCTATGTTGGCGGGAGAGCATAGCACCAGTGTAGATAGTGCGTAGGTCAATCTAACTTGCGTCACTCAGGGAGGGTGTCTTTTTTCACACACCTGAACAGCACACGTTAGATCGACTTAAGCAGTAGTGACCTACCCTTCCTGTCTGCAATAAGGAAGTTTGGTGCATCCGAAGCTAGCTATGGTTTGATCAGATTTCACAATTTATAAATATAGTATCTAGTTCTTCACTTAGCTAAAATTATGACAACTTGTCTGTGACTGAGGCAGCGGAATTGGACCCCCTCTGGTAATGCTGCTGAAGGTGGTAAGACTGCAGAAGCTTTCACAGATACAAAGTTGGTATTTCAGGACTGCAGCTATACCTGATAATTATGAGACTAGTTGATCTTTTAACATTTCTGTGGCTGGCCTTCTACTTCCCTTTTAATCACATGGATTGAAACGTCCTCACTTTCTGACTAATGTACGTGACAGCGGATATCCATGGCTTCGTAATCCTGCTGCTAACTTTGAAGATTCCATATTGTAACATTGCTGTTGAGTGATTACTGAGTCAGTGATATTAGCTACCCGAATGGGCATGGCTGCAAAGAATAATCAGAATTCTTTGATGAAGGGAGGGTTCTTGAGAGCCAAAGAAATTATCATCAAAATGACTGATGATTGAAGGCCATTTATGCCATTACTGAACAGTAATACATGCCTTGGGAGGCAGGCAAGGTAGCAGCTGTCTAAAAATACAACCTGTCATAACTCTTTCTAGTTATAAATCTTTATACAAACAGCCCTCTCTATGCTTGTGAGGCTAAGTTATCATCCTTTCAGAAATGGTAACACTAAGGTAGAAAATAAGTCCAATTTCTAGGACCCATCCCTTGCTTAGCTCATCTAGACATGGATTATATTGTGACCAATTTGAGGGTGACATCCACTTGTAAATTTTTCTTTTGACTGTACTCGAGTCTTATTTTAGTTGCTTTTCCAGGCACTTGTGTGTCAAAAATGTGTTCCTTAATCAACTGCACAGATATGGCTACGTGACAAATTCCAAGGTGAAGTTTGTTATGGTGGTAGATTCTTCAAACACAGCACTTCGAGACAATGAGATCCGCAGCGTAAGTGCAGGAAATCAGAATGTAACTTGCCAGATCAGTATTTTTGTTCCTTCCACTTATTCATAAAATGCTGAGAAGCCAAGAAATAAACAACCCCTCCCCCCAACAGTAATTTTCTAGGTTTTAATTAAAAACAAACCATGATCTTTTTTCAGATGTTCCGAAAGCTGCATAATTCATACACAGATGTAATGTGCAACCCCTTTTATAACCCTGGGGACTGCATTCATTCCAGGTGAGTGAGCTGCTTCCACTGATCCTTTTGATTTTGTTGCCTTTCTGGGACATGCAGAGCTATTAGGATTTAGCTCTTAAGAATGTAACTTCTGTGAGTGATCAGTTTAAAGCTGGGAGGTGCAAACTCCTTTCCAAAAACATGCAGCTGTACTCTCTTTGGACTACTTCTGCATAATAGAAAATTTACCATTGCACCATCCTCATTAGAGGCTACATTTAACGGTCTCCCACAGACTTCACACTCATTAGTAGCTCTATGAATTGATATTAGAGATGCTGACTCAGGAACCTGAGGTTACTTAAAAAAAGTTACCAATGGATCTCACTTAAATATTCTTTTTATTGAAATGTGGTGGATAATACTTTGTCAACAGCCTTGTCCACTGGACACCTCTAAATAGGCAGGCTGTAGCTTTTGAAAATTCAGCCTCTGTAGAGGAGTATGGATGAGGAGACTATTTCCAGAATGCATAATTCTCAAAACAGTTGACAGGACAGTGCCCATCTTTTCATATTCAAAATCTTTTTATGGGACCAATGAGTGTTGTTCCCCTCCCACTATCATTGCATATGCAAAAGCAGATTCTATATTCCTACCACTAAAATGACTAATCTACTGACAGGGCAAGAACCATGGTTACTTCAGCTTTATTAGAAGGAAAGTAATTGTTTGTGAAATGCATTGCACCAGTGGTAAGGAATGAAATATTTATTGTCAAGCCTGTGGGAAGTTACCATTAAAAATGCTTAAATAGAAGTTATGTCTTACCTACTAACTGAACAGCTTCTTTGTATAAGAGAGATCTCAGTGTGGTGGACTGTCTTCTCTTCCTTTAATATTTCGTACTCTTCCTTCTCTAGGGCTTTTGATAATATGGTGACCTCCATGATGATGCAGGTGTGCTGAAGCTCCAGCCATTCTCTTTGTATTTGAGAACATTCTCTATTGTACAGAAGTGTATCTATGAAGCTGGGTATATATAGTCTTTAAACTTGTTCTGTGTAAAATAAACCTATTGCTGTTTGGATCTATGTCTGCTTGTGGCCAGTCATGCTGTGGAGCGTGGCACAACTTGCTTAGTAGAATATAGGCTTTGCTTTTAACTAGTATGGAAGGGTCTCTTGCTCCTAAATAAAGACAAAGGTAGTGAGCTATTGATCACTGTCCATGTCCGATCTTAGTAAAGCCCAGGGCTGCATGTTAAATTGCACACACAGTTGTCTGCCCAAATTGCATGCAGAGTTGAGAGTGTATATGGATGCAGCTGTATGTTAGGTGTGCAACCTTGAGATGCTTCTGTAAAAATCTGCCCCTAACTTATGCTTGAAATAGCTGTGCCTGGTGCAGTATGATCAGAGAACAGCAGCCAGCTCAACTGTTCAGCAAAATAGACATCAAATGCAGACTGTGAATGGCAAATTTACGTTGACCCCACTCTTGGGAGAGTTGAAATGAACTGGTTTACTGCTCTGATCAGGCCTGGGACCACCTCTTCTTGCTAGAGCATTGTGCAGTACTGCTGCTGTATGCAGTTGTTAAATCTAGATAAGAGGACCCACTGGCTTTAACAGATGCAGTTCAGGCAGAATGTGGACCAGCCTTTTCTGCTCATTGCCACTTACAACACTGGGTTCCCTGAGCTGCAGCCAGAGCATGCTGTTCTTTCCTGACAATGTTTTAAACTAAACCAAGTCTGGCTCCCTAGCCATGTTTCCTCATTGTGGTAAGAGCTTCCAGATCAGTGAGGTGGGCACATACTGAAGCCTGTAACTATCAAAGCAAAAAAACTATTACTTGAAAAGAGGTGACAGCTTCAAGTGCTTAGTACAACAGGGCCCAGCACTGGATACTCACACCCCAAGCACCATAAGTAGCTGCACCCTTCCCAACACACCTGGCTTCATTTTACCCAAGGCACAGATTGCCAAGGTCACACAAGATGGCTGGGGCAGAGCCAGTAATTGGACCCCAATTTCCAGCAACCCCATCCAGTGCCTCCACCTAATCCCCTCCTTCATGGGGGAGAGTGCTAAGTGAGCCACATGGCATTAAGTATGGGTAGTGCGCAAGAGTCTACTCAAACCATACATTGGTATTTGCTTTAGTGTGTGCAAATTTGACCAGTAATTGCAAACACCCAGTTTGTGGTTCTATAACAGCTATGGAGGATGAGGTTTTTTAGCCACATTAAACTGAAGTGTTTAGTGTTTGATGTTACAAAGCAGGTTACTGACCCTCTACTTTTTCTTGTTTTGTCTCATCTTCACTTTTATCTCCAGCAGCTTGGCAGTCCTTCATACTATACTGGGGCATTAGAACCGCCTATGCGGGTACCTAGGCTGTGTTCTTAGAATCACAGAATATCAGGGTTGGAAGGGACCTCAGGAGGTATCTAGTCCAACCCCCTGCTCAAAGCAGGACTAATCCCCCAGACAGATTTTTGCCCCAAATCCCTAAATGGCCCCCTCAAGGATTGAACTCACAACCCTGGGTTTAGCAGGCCAATGCTCAAACCACTGAGCTATCCCTTCCCATCTGCATTTCCACAGCCCCAGAGACATGCATGCTGCTTTAATCAAATTAATCCAGACATAACTAATTTCACTTTAAGATCAAAGCCCAAGAAAGTGGGGTTGCAGTCCTGTGGTAGCAGAAAAATAGCCACCCTGAGGGCAGAGATAATAGTGTGCATTGTATTTCCCGTTCCAACTTGTCATTGCATCAGTCTAAGCCCATTGTTTGGATCACATGTCAGACTCTCATTGCACTGTGCATGAACATACACATACGGGAGTGGCTGGCAGAAGGGACCGTAACATGACGATCCTGTTTTGGCCAGAAGAGAAACAGGGTGTGTTAGGGAATTCTCTGTTCATTTTCTGGACTACATTGAGGATTGCACACTAACCCCACTAATACCTGTCTAACATCCATTAGTCTCCTGTTTTCTTCCCTCAGAATAGGTGAAAGGTTGAAATAAACATACAAACCTGCCACAGGCAGTAGGCATTTGAACAAATTAAGGTGAATTCTTAAATGGAAATCAGATTAGAAGCAGGTATATGCACCAAAACAAAGGACTGTACCTATCTCAACAAGGTGTATCCTACCCACAGGATGCAAGGTGTTGCGAGCTATTACTAGAACAGACTTACCAGTACAGGTACACTAGATGGGAGACCAATCCTGAGGCTGGATGGTAGTAGTAAATTCAGGGCATCTAGCAATATGCTAGTGTAACAACCATTACAATAGAATACAACATGGATAGGTTGCCCTGGTTATAAAGGATTCTAGAGTCAAAGATTCCAAGGCCAGAAGGGACCTTTGTGATCATCCAGTCTGACCTCCTGTACACCCCAGGCCATAGGACTTCCCTCAAATAATGCCTAGAGCAGATCTTTTAGAAAAACATCTCATCTTGATTTCAAAACAGTCAGTTACGGAGACTCCATCACGACCCTTGGTACATTGTTCCAATGATTAATTACTCACTTAAAAATTTACACCATATTTCCAGTCTGAAGTTGTCTAGCTTCAACTTCCAGCCATGGGATGGTGTTACACCTTTCTCTGCTAGATTGAAGAACCCATTCTTAAACATTTGTTCCCCATGTAGGTACCTAAAGACTGTAATCAAGCCACCCCTTAACCATCTCTTTGTTAAGCTAAATAGATTGAGCTCCTCGAGTCTGTCACTATAAGGCAGGTTTTCTAATCCTTTAATCATTCTTGTGGCTCTTCTATGAACCCCCTCCTTTCTATGAATCCTCCTTTCTAACCCCCCCTCACTAGTGCTGCTGGATCCTCCTCTGCCTTGCCCTTTCTGAATGCTGGGATGATGGGAGAGGGCAGGAGCCTCTTCCTTTCTACTCCACCATTTCTTCTCCTGGCTTCTTGGAAGGAAAGAGGTTCTGAGGCTCACTGCTTTCCAAGCTGTCTGGCAACACAAAGAGTGCTTCTGTGATCACAGCAAGGGAAATTCAAATCTCGAGAGTCCAGGAGACACTGACTCAAGGAAACAGAGCGAACACCAGAGCTGCACCGGATGCGTATAGTCTAAACTTCTCCTGAAAACTCGGCATCAACACCTGGCTGGTTTTTCCTAATCTTCCCCCAACTCTCATTCCTTAGAAAGTGGAGAAATTCCTGGGTTTCTCCATCTTTTCCATACTCCAAGCACTTCCTAAGGCATCCAGCTCTGTATCGGCCATAAAATCATTACACATGCTGCAGGGACAATCCTGCATGGATCCTCAGGGGATGGGGAAGATGTGAGCTAATAGAGGTTTTCCTTCTTTGACTTCAGAGGAGCCAATCCTCACTGATGAGAGGGACAAGGGAGACAGGAAGCACAGCTGTATGATGTTATGTGCCACGTTTGTCCCCAGGGTAAGTCTACTGAACACCAGGGTGCATGTGGGCCTGCAAATCCGAGAAGGGGCAAACTGTTCAAAAACAAACACTCTAGTTAAATCACGGCGAAATAGCAGAGAATGAGGAATGACATTCAGAAGGGTTTCAAGCGCTGGCTTGCAGGCCATTCTTGTGCTCCTACTGAACTTGAGGCATCATGACTATGTCTCTGCCAATCAGAGAGAATAGCTCTGCTTGGAATGCCAGGAAAACCTGCAGGTCCCTTGTTTGAGAAAGGTCCAACAATGGCCTAACTACAAGTAACAATTAGATTTCCAGGACAGAGCTGCAGCAAACGAAGAGCGAGCCCTTTCATCTTCTCCTAACACATGCTAACCTGGAAGACCTCGCTTACTCCAACCACTGGAAGTTCACTTGGCTCCTGACTACGGGCCAAATTCACCACGTCAGTGGATATGGACCTATATTATGGTGTTCTCTAATAAACATCTTCTTGTTGCAGGAGGTGTGGTTTTTTCTGTGGTCTAAGAGCCTTCTAAAGGCAACTAGTTCAGTGCAAAGACAGGTCTGCTGCTTTTTCTGCACTTTCATTGTGGAACAAACTTTTTTAGACAGCAGGATAATTTATTTTTAAAAAAAGATATCTGACGATTAAACAGAACTTGATCAGAGAAATCTGCTCAGCTCAATCAATACATTTCAGCAGTAATAACTTAAGTGTCAAACACTTCACTCTCCCATTCTCCAGCTCCCCTCCCACCCAAACAAGTCACACCTGTACCTTACTATTTTGATAAACTTTTACACATAAAAAGGTGAGTTAAATCTTTCCACTTGCCAAGACCAGCACTCAGTGTTTCCTTTTCAACTACAGTCATTAAAAGGTCACTGCCAGGTACTTTAGACCCAAAAAATAGGTTTTGTAAAAGTTCTAGGGCATAAAAGATCTACCAACAGAAATAACTTTTTTTTTGTAATCAATGGGAAAGGTTTGGATTGTCCTTTCAAAATTTGCAACCCACACTATGGGCTGGTTCAGGAGAACCAGAAAGTGAAGCAACAGCCTCTCTATGCTCCATGCTAGACAAAGTGCAAATAGTAAACACGTGTGAAGAGTTAGATTTTTGAAATTCAGTGATCCAAGGTGTTAACAGGGAGCGAAATCGGTTTCTAAAATAGGTTTCTTATCCTGACAGCGTCCCTTCAACTGTCCAGAAAGCCGCCTTAAGGGTTAGTAATTGCATCAGTTGTAGCTGGGGAAAAGGGAAACCTGACTAAAGGTCCTGACAGGTTAGTGCTGGAATTCTAATAAAATGTATTTAAATGTATAACTTTACACAGTAACATTGTTCACGAGGTTTTTTAACCAGGCTTTTCTTTTTAACCAAAAACATTTTCCTTTAAAAATAGGAGCAAGTTTAGCGCTCATGAAAGTGAGACAAACTGCAGTGGCTTGGACCGCACAATGCAGACAGGTGCTGCGCAGGAATTCCCACACAAAACCCCCTCCATGCACTTCCACCCTGACTGGCAACAGCCCCTGCTACTTCAGCCTAGGCCTTCCAGCACTGACCTCCAAACTGTGGGCACTGGGAGAGGAAGAAATAGAGCCTAAGCTTAGACCCACAAAACTCACCCTTGTCACTAGAGACTG